AACATGGCTTTTCCAGAAGCTCCATTCTTTGACTTTCTAAGCTTCGTTTTCATGCTGAATGTAGAGAATGAATGTAGAGAACAGCAGTTGGGCATTGAAAACAAGGGAGTTTTCCCTATTCAGTGAATAACAATGAAAATTGTTATTTGCCAATCTGATCTTTTAGCAAGAAAAAACTGGGTTTCTTACTTCTTTGCGGATTTTCTTAGAATGTAAGTTCTATTCAAAAAGAATTTATACTCCAATTCCCATTGAGTGCTCTTCCCAGAAATACCAAACATTGGATAAAAGTGTTTGTCCGCAGCATTTGTAAGAGCCGTAAGGCCTCGGACAGAGTTCACGCCATTTGATCGTCGCGATTCGATCGCTAGAGACAGATGTTACGAGGTTATTGCATGCCGATCTTCTTACATTTTGGTTGTGATAGTTTTACAACACGACTAATCGTGACTAACTTTCACAACCGAAATACAAGAAGATCGGCATGCAATGAACGCGTAAGGGGCCGGGCATACTTCACGCGATTTCAGTAGCGACGCGATTTGGCAATTCGCCAGAAGTCTTCATATCCAAAACTAGCATTCCGCACATGCATAGTGTGTATAACTTACGTGGATTGATAGAATGCCCTATCCTCTGCACATTTAAAATGTGCTTACAGTGAGTTATAGACAGTTGGAATATTGCCAAGTCGCGTCGCGACTGAAATCGCGTGAAGTATGCCAGGCCCTTAACATTTGTCTGTAGCGATTGAATCGCGACGATCAAATCGCGTGAGCTCTGTTCGAAGCCTAAAAGCGAACAAAATTATTTATAAGCCCGCCCCAATATAATAGTAACAAGCGACATAAAAGAGCACGGCGGTGCAGTGAAGAAAAACCCCACTGCGTTTATTGCCACGCTTGCTATCGACAGTCCGTTGTTCTGATTTGGACTCCCATCCTCTGCTACAGTATAGACCGGAAACTAAAAGACGCGACGGCTTCATTTTATTTGCCTTTGAGCTGAAGGGGCTGGAATTGACACAGGAGGGTAAGTGTGATAACCGGTTATAAAAATACGCAAATTTGAGTGTGAGCTTTTAGTTATGGAGCTGGGAATTGGGACAAGGGTAGGGGGGAACTGAGCATGCTGATTACAATAGTAACCGTTAGTCACAATGCTTATTACTTTCATCCATGTCATCGATTATTCATGAAAAAGCCCAACTTTGCACATCAAGGAAGATATCTCCCTCTTTCCGGGCACAGTCTGAAAACCTCTGAAAAGCACACTTCAGAGCTCGGAAAGGAAAGCGTGTAAGCAAGAATGATATAGTGGGAGGATATCGTACAGCGTTCGTTCCTGCCAGATTCGGAGGAGGTCTTTGGAAAATTCGCTTCTGAGAGCAATTCTGCAAAAATCTCATTTTTCTCTCGAAAAGTTGAGCCTGTGAGCAAGAGAGATATCGCGGGAGAAAATCGTAGAGCAAATGCTCCGAAAAACTCTGATTTCTTCTCAAAAAGATGAGCTTGTAAGCAAGAATGAATGATATTGTGGGAGGAAATTGTACAGCGTTCCACCTAGCAGAACACTGTTTTGAGAAAGACACGTCTTCCGGCCAAATTTTGAGAAAATCTTGCTTTTGAGAGCCATGCGCTGCAAAAATTCCATTTTTCTCTCAAAAGCGAGGACGTGGGCAAGATTAATTATGTGGAAGGAAACTGGACAGCGTTGCTCAAAGGAAAACACCATTAGTGAGTTATAATCCACTTTTCGGCCAAGTTTTGGATAAAAAACCCTTGAAAAATTCGCTTTCTGTAGAATCGCGGGAACACATAGGCTGACGATTAGGAGACTCAACTGGAAATTTTTTATAGTTTAAAAACAGCAGTCATCTATGGATTTGTCCCAATTTGCTAGTCTCATATATTAGACAGTCCGAAAGTTGGTGGCGATCCATGCTCATACCACTCAGAATAATGGCAGGCGAACGCAAGAGTGTTCAATGTGCAGAATTTCTTCCTTTTTTAATAGTTATGTTTTTGTTTAGATTCCTTTGATGTCCGCTCGACAAATTGTCAGAGTTTCAACCCATGGTTTTCACCTATCCCGAGTTTGACTATGTTTTTAACTTCTATTTTAACTTTTGTGCTAACTTTGATAATTGGATAGAGTGAACAAGTCGCAATACAGTAAACTAATTTGGCCTCTTCAGCTAGCTTCCCAGTATTTCTTGAAGCTATCTTTCCGAAAGCCTTTACTTTTGCGAAGCCATGAAGTTCCCACCGCTTCAAAATATTGTTAAAGCTTTAATATTCAAAGCTTGCAAAAACAGCATATGACTTAAAGGCCCGTCCACCCAAATTCTCGACTTCTATGTTTTTGCCGTTCCAGGGCCTTCTCATATCCCTGATTCTTCCGAATACCAAGTCGAGAATCCGCAAAAACCTCGAAAATCCCAGTTCCCAGAACTTGCATGACGAGTTCTCCGGAACGATGATTGGTTGGGTGGGCACGCGGGACGAACGTCACGCCCACTTGCAGGGTGAGGAGCCAACTTGGCGAGTCCTTCATCTGAGCGATTTACGAAGCAATTTTCTTGCTTCGGAAGCAACTTTTAGCAGCGCGAGTTAGGCAAATATAAAGTTGCCCCCCCCCCCCTCCCCCCCCCCGCTCTTCCCCCCTCCCCCCAGTCATCAAAATCTCATCGACCCCATTTTGGATGGACGATGCCTTTAACGCTTATTTTAGCAAGCAGCTGAGCGTTTAACGGTTCGAAATATTGAATTCCAAATTTTCTGGGTATAGCCTAGGAAAGGGTTCATAAACATAAATGACAGTTTTCTTCCAACAAAATCAGAAAGAGGAGAAAAAGCTGCATCAAATGACACCCTTGTTCTTCGTCGTTTATTGTTCTGTAAGGATTGGGATCAGGGTTGAGCGTGGGGTCAGGCGCGCCCGACCTGGGGGGTCGTACTGGGGTAAGACAGAGGGGGGGGGAGTCGTGATTAGGAATCGAATTCGTTCGATTGAGGAGATACTACGATTAAGGTGAAGAAGAAAAGCACTAGTTTAGTGGATATCGCGACCTCACCAGTACTGAAGGAATGAACGGTCTTAAACAGCATACTGATTGATTCCACAATCGAAGTTTCGGCCAAAACTCAAATCTTCATCTTCTACCTTGACGTATTATAAATTCATCAAGGAAGCTTGCTGTGTGAAATTGGTATCATTTCCGAGCACGTCAAATTACCTCTATGAGCCCTACAAACCATTATTTACTGCATTATCTAGTGTTTCTCAACGACTAAAAAGCGTGATTTTCAAACATGATTAACTTGTTTTCAAAAGTGAGAAAAGTCAATTTTTTTGTACTCGTAACAAAGTATTGTTCCCTACTAGTCTAGGCTAAAAATCGCGCTTTGTATCGCTTGCAAATAGTGGAGTAAGAAATAATGCCAAAATTCCGACCGGCGCGTTTTTCGCCATGACTGCTTCAACTCCACGGATTACCACAAGGCCGAAACAAGTCGAATCAAGTCCAAACACTTACTGTGGAATCTTCGAGGGTTGTGCTAGCGATTCACATAAAACTTGAATAAAAAAGCTTCTTCAATGATAAAGTTAATCGGGTCAGGCGCAACCCCACAAAAAGTCAGGCCGCCTGAGCTTTTGAGGGGTTGCGCCTGACAAAATTAACTTGTTTTCAAAATCTAAAAATCGCTACTTTTCTGCTATGAGTATTGAACTCAAAGCCTCTTCTTGCATTACTGCAAATTTGGAGCCAAACAATACACCCCTGTGGGAATTATAGCTCTAAAAGTAGGGCTATCCAAAATCCAAAACTTGCCGTCAAGTTGCGTGTGCTGTGCAATCGCAGAAAGTCGACCTACAGACCTCCAAAAAACAAGAACCTCCCAAAAACGGCTGATCTCTTCGAATTATCACAGCCTGAGGTCCTGGAGGTGAAGCAGAGGGGTCGTTTAGGGGCTTTCACTGGGGGGGGGGGGGGTCGTTTTGGAAAGACTTGTGCCTGACCTCTTGCTCAACCCTGATTATAGCTCTAAAAGTAGGGCTATCCAAAATCCAAAACTTGCCGTCAAGTTGCGTGTGCTGTGCAATCGCAGAAAGTCGACCTACAGACCTCCAAAAAACAAGAACCTCCCAAAAACGGCTGATCTCTTCGAATTATCACAGCCTGAGGTCCTGGAGGTGAAGCAGAGGGGTCGTTTAGGGGCTTTCACTGGGGGGGGGGGGGTCGTTTTGGAAAGACTTGTGCCTGACCTCTTGCTCAACCCTGATTGGGATGCCCAAGTGGAATGGGATAACATCGATCGAATATAAAAATTCTGAGAAAGCAGTTAAGATGCTAAAAAATGACTGCATTGCATTTTGTGCACTCTATCCAACTGTTATCAAAGCTAGTCGAAAGTCTAGAACAGAAATTCCAAAAATTGCCAAACTCAGGATGGGTAAAAGCCATAGGTTGCAGATTCTGACGATTATTCGAGCGAACATTAAAGGAATCTGAACAAAAACATATTTTTTGGAAGAAAAAGAAATTTTTTGCATCGAACTTCGTTTAGAGCATTTGTCTATCATTATCCTCAGCGGTTTGAGCATGCTAATTACGAATAAATATCAATGTCTGAAATGATCGATTAATTTTAAATTTTATCGATTTTTTGCGAAGGCTTGATCTATGGCGCTAAATGGTGCAGAGATGGGGAAGGGGTAAGTGAACATCGTGATGATCAGTTCAAAGCAATCCTTTGTATTTATCGATTTTAAAAATTTTTGCAAAGTGTAACCTGAAGAGCTGGGAGTTGGTACAGAGGGGTAAGAGAGTGGGGAAGTGGCATATAAAAGTGTGGTAGGTTAGTGTAAGGCTGCACAGGAATAGGAATGGTGCCCCTCATTATAGTGTATTCACAGGGTCGTTCCTAACTTCTTAGAAATTTCAATTCTTTCTATTTTGCAGAACAGGAACAATGAACAGAAACGATGATTATAAACTCTTCTTAGCATCTTCTTAGTATGCAACAAACAAACAAGAAAAATTCAGACTTGCATATCGGTCTCAACTTGAAGATTGAACGAGCAATTTCAAGACAGCTTTTATCCTACGCCGTCGTATGACATGAGTTCATTAATTCTATTACACATGCAGTTACAAAAAGATGTTCAAGATAGCCATCGAAAATAAGATAGGTTACTGCTTCAATCATGATAACATGCACCACCAAAACATTCAATACTCTAATTGGTACATCTAGCCACCAAACTGCTAGGAAAGAATCACATATTTGCACCATTGCTGCGAGGGCCCGAAGAACAGGGAGTAGAAAAGTATTGATATACAACAGTGTCGTATCACAGAAAGATGTAGAACATACAATGGAAAACTACCCTTTCCAAAACCGATAGAAAACGTACATGAATATGAGTGTAACGATGCAACCGACAACGAAAATCAGCCAGTCTTCTCGCACACGTCGATCGATCATTTGTAATGTAGTATTCGATAATCCTAACTGCAACATATTTGCTGCATTGCATAGGAGTAATAATTTTTTCGAGGAACTCACGGCTGAGCCTATGTCCATAATTTTTCGCCTCACACCGCGTAAATTCATATGCTGAGAACGAAGACTGTCGAGGACAGCTACGCCTTGGCTAATCAGATCGTCAACCTGGAGGTAAGATTATCAAAGAGCGAAATAATCAACTTTGAAGCTGAGAAACTTGGCATATAAGTCTTGAAATGTATGGTAAACTATAAGACTGACTTGACGATTCGAGGAATTGAGCCGATCATTCATTTGCAACTCATGGTCTTCCAATGACAGTGTTGTAGACTGATTGGGACGGAATCTACAAAGATTCGGATAAATACCCCACAGAATCACGAATAACAGAAAACCCGAATCATCAACAATGCTCACCTCTGATGAAGTAATTCTTCTCTTTCACTTGCTGCCCGCCACTTTGCTGTAAGTCTAGAATACATTGCCGATATTGCATAGTGCGTACTTTGACTGTCACTCTGCAGCTGGTCGACTTTTATCCGAACCTAGGTCATCCATTGTTCAAATAGCTGATAGTATCGAAGCAACAAAACTCACAAGGTGCCGTCGAGCAGGAGGTTCTTTATTGACCAATATGATCAGCTGTTCACAATTTTTGTCAACATTTCTGAAAGCGATGGTATTAATAGTAAAGCCGAAGAAACATAGCTTACAGCTCTACTCTAGCTTCCCAAAAGTTTCGCTCTTCATTTACATTTGCACTGATTCATATACGCTAGTGCATAACTCTAACAAAGGACCCCTGCAGAGACAGCAGTTAAAATGAACTGACAAACAGGAGTTCGTGTGTATAATCCAATTGATTCTTTTAATTTACTTTCAACGAATTATGGAGCAAAAATAAGAAATGGAATACTGCATCTACGCGATCAAAGTTCTGAAGCATTTACAGGGTGTCTAAAGCAAAGTGCTGATTGTTATATCTCTCTTTCTCCGTGCCTTTCGACGCTTCTGAGCTACCATTTGGTAGAGGACTCATTGTATTTATAGTATACAGCAAATCACCGAATGCTATTCATTACTAGGAACTTCAAGCATACAGCACCACTATAAAACAGGCCACAGAAACTGGATAGTATCGCACGACATGCATATGCTCTTTTAACTTCTCCACGGTTCTTGAAGCTTTAAAAATGGCGTCAGCACCTTTTGAAGGCACATCGTTTTGGGTTCCCCTGGACGAGCTAAATCCAACACTGTGCTTTGCAGCTTCAAAAGATACCAAAAACCCGCTTTCCAGACGTGAAAGTGCTATTTGGGCGGACCGCCTATCTGCACTCGAGAGCTCGATTGGCTCGTGAGTGAAGATACTCTACCCACCGTACCCATGAGCCAATCGCGCCTCAGAGGGCAGATACGCCGTCCGCCCGAATAGCGCTTTTCACTTCTGGAAAAGCGTGTTATTGATATCTTTTGAAGCTGCAAAGCACAGTCTTGGTCTTAGCTCATCCAGGGGAACCGAGAACGATGAATATCCCAAACTTGTCATTCTGCTGAGCCGCTGCCTCTAAGGAACGCTGAAAAGTAGTTGCTACAGTATTCCGGCGTAATTTATGAAGAGCATTGCGGTGAAATGCAGATTAGAAGTCAACGACTCCCAACAGTCTAAAAGTCCCTGGTATGTTTTGTTATTATTTACTTGGAAAGATACATGGAGGTTCTAAACCCTTTTCGAGTTCCTACCGTGATCCCAGTCAGGAAAAGCGATCATTGATTCCACAATGAATTCATGCCGTCCCGTGGTGCAACATGATCTCTATATATATAAAACTCAAAGTGTGTTTGTCTGTTAATAAGTATGTTTTTTATACAAATCTTTCTGAGTGGACCAAATGAGTTAAAACTTTGCACGCTTATGTTTTGGACCCCGGCGCGGAACATAGGCTACTTTTCGCGGCGATTTACTAGACCCTTCTATTGATTTGTTGATTTGTTTACTTACATCTGGGAAAATGAGGCTTGACATGCTCAAACCAATCATTTTGCTATGATCATGTAGTCAGGGGATGGTAAAGCTCATTTTAATCTCAATGTCGGGAAAAGCGGGTAATTCGTTTCAGCCTTTTTGCGCAGAATAAGCTTGAAAGCATAAGTATAAGTAACTTCTTTTTAGCTAAACTGGAGTCCCGAGTGAAACCGGGATCGCCGGCTAGTTACCTAATAATCAGTCAAAGACAATGGAAAAGGAGAGAAATCACACAAAAAGTGGGCACATTTTGACAAACTTTATAACACTCCGGATACGTGATTAGTGTCGACGTGCATAAATGTGTCTATATGATAAAAAAAGGAATGTGCATAAAAAATTAGGATAAAATTTTTAAGCTTATTCACCTCAACTGCTCGGTGATGTACTGAGATATCTGGTGAGCCTCCTGCTCGTCTTTTGCACGTTCTAGCCGACCCATTCCAAACTGCGCCTGCTGTAGTAGGCTGGATGTCTCTTGATACAACTTCTCCATGGTCACCTAGAAGAAACGAAGTAATAGTTGTCTTATAAACAGATACAAAGAGAACGAAGAGAGCTACGCAAAAAGGTGGTGAGTTGGAAGGCCAACGTTGTCTGCAGCTTTCACAGAATTTCTTTGCAAAAAGCACAACATCAATGAAAGGCTAAATTTGTTAATCCAAACAGGGCACTAGTCTAAAATGCAAAGCTTATTCAAACTATGCTTGAATAGAAAGCCGAAAAGTCGAAATAAAAGATGCTTACTGTGGTTACGCACTTTGTGTATCAACAGTGCACAAAATCGGGTGTGGTGCGGAAGGCGACAAAACCCAGCAGAGGCGAGGGAACGGTGGCCACGCCTCCCATTTGCCTGCTGTTTAGTGCTGGCCTCGAGTGAATTAGTCAGATTGACGCTTTTGTAGCGCATAGGCTGGCACCTGAATGGTGGCGGTGCCGTCTTCGATTACTCTGTTTTATCCATAAGAGTTCGGTGTGTAAAATTGGTAGGTGTGATCACTCAGTGTATAAGGAAAGGTAACGTAACGCAAGTTGTAGACTCGTAGATTGTTTGCTGATAGCTAACTGATTGAGTGTGAGATTTGGCAGCGAAATTTGATTTCGGTCACTATCTAACTCACGCATATGATCAGTTCCCAGGTTCGTGTGGTGTGTTGCAGACTTTGTCTGATAAAAGGATAAACTTGTTAAACCTCCATGTTATAGCATTGCTTTTCGTACTCTCTCGCTAGCAAAAATCGCCCCGCTGTGAGTTGGCAAGACTCCACCTCCACACCTCTACGAATCTGGAAGCCGACGATATTTCGATTAGCTTCTGCACTGAATAAGGATAACGGAATTGCATCAGTTCTATGCAGTTATGTAGCTGTCATTCGGATAGAGATGAATCAAACACAATAAATGCTACAAAGCAGTTTTCTTTCGAGTCTCAAAGTAAGAAGAATCCTTATTTTCAGGCAAAATGTCAACATCAATTTGTATCCAGCCGCACCTCGAACTCAATATAGCCGCGATATCTTTCAGAATTTAGCCTTTCTCAATACTTCAAGTTCATCTTATTTTTTCCGCTCACTATTCTTCGTTTGACAGGGCTAAGAGAAAAACCACTTTATTCGCAACAAAATCGCACCAGATATAGGACAAAAAAAGGAAATGATACCATCACTCAGCAATGTAGAATGCAACTTCACTTCAAAAACAAGAAATCCCTGTACAAAGTTTCCAAAGTTCTTTTGTAAGTCTATTTGTTCCAAATAGTCATTATCGACAAAGGTATCACAAGGGACCATTATGTATACAGAAATACTGCTTACAAGTGAATGAAGTCATGTTAAGTACCATTTCTTCAAGAAAAGACAAGAACCTAGGACCGTTAGGATAGCTAAAATGAAAAACTATATGAATATACAAAAGTTAAACTTAAGAAGAATTTGGCACTGAAACTCGAGTGTAAGTAGCAGAGTTTACAGAATGCCCAAGTCAGTGGCCCTTGAGCTCGCCTCTTTTGAATGCACTTAGGTGTGAGATCCATCCTTCAAAAGAAACGATCGGCGAAGTCAAGCAAAAGGAGTGAGTGAGAGCTCTTACCTCATAAGTCCATAGCTATGGCGCACGAAGTTGAAAGCGATTTTTCTGCATCTCAACTAAAATGAAATGATTAAGTCGCGCAAACATTTTGATGATAACAAAAAGGCTAGCTATGAATAGGGGGAGGACATTCATAAGGTTATATCCATATAAGAAAATGATGAAATGGAAAGTAGAAAAGCACAGAACACAAGAAAGGTCATACCTCTGATGAGTCAGGTGACGACTCCTCTTGCTCGCTTATATGTGCAACTACATGAAGGAACTCCCGTATCAATAATACACCTCACACCCCTAAAGCAAAAAGCAAAAATGTTTACACAGAAGGTGAAAGATATAGAACCGTAAAGGACAGACAAGAACAGAGACAAAAATGAATCACACAAGAACCGAAACATGTAGAAAGCGTGCAGACGCGCTCCAATACAAAGATTGGAAGGACGAGAGTTGACGAGAACTCGGACAGGGCGTGGCCACTAGTCGTGCCTGTTCCAGGGCATTTGTCGCCTTCCGCGTGTTCCCCCACAAAATCGCCATGTGTGTACGGGAAATTGCGGCTGTTTCTTTCAAGCAGCTCCATTTGATTGTGACTGTGATTTTCTTTGTTGAATGGCATAGAGATTGACTTTGTTATTCCAAATGTACTGGGTATTTGCACGCGCGAAGAATCAATTTGAGGTTTTGGCGTCCTGTTCCTATCTTCTTTCGCAATCCATTTGCACTGAGTCAACTGCTTTGTCATTCAAAACAACGTGCTGGCACTTTGAGCGCCCTAGCGGTCAATGTGATTTTGCTTTCATCACTTTTTCTATCATTTAGACCATAAATGAAAAAATCCATCTGCTTGTTTGCAATCTCGCGTTTTTGCTTGTATTTTATCTGATAGAATGATGAAGCGGTAGGTAGTAAGTGTGACCCCGGCCGTCGAATTTCCGCAAGTGCATTATATGCATTTGCAGTGCAAAATCACAAGTCCTAGGCTGCGTTCATACTGATCCCGAAGTTCGGGAACAGTTCCAGCACAGTGTTCAAATTGGGCGCTGTGCTGGATGTTCCCAGACTTCGGAATCAGTATGAACGCAGCCCCAGCCTACAACTAATTTAAGCAGGTTTGACTTTTTCATTGTCAAAAGCTTATCAAATGTTTCTGCCTCCTAAGATGATTTTTCTTGGCTGCTCAACAAAGATAAATCTTATTATTGTGGTTGTAAGCCGCACTGAGATTGATAACAACTATTTATTGGCTGACGTTTCGGCAGATCGCCTTTTTCAGAGCCTGGAATGGACAAAACGATCCGCAACCTGTTCGATCAAATGTCTCTGCAGCTCCACAAGCAAAGTTCTAAGGGCGATCTGCCGAAACGTCAGCCAATAAATAGTTGTTATCAATCTCGAGTGCTGCTTACAATCATAATAATAAGATCTACGTCATGCCGAGATTCATAGAGAGTCGAACAATTCATCAAAGATAAATCTCCTTTTTTGGTAGAGGCACCTGGTAGGCTTTGATGATGTCGGAAATAGCAATTCTGCTCAATTTTGTTGTTACTGGATTGATTCATTGATGCAAAGACATCTTTCGCGTCAATGATTTGACTGAAGCGGTTCCGATGCGTTGTTTAGCTGTCTGGGTCTCAGTTGTTTACTGAAAGACCTCAGGATCTTCGAGTTTTGCATTCTCAAAAAAGTACTATGAACATTCATAACTTTATCCGGAAATATTTCTTTCTTTTTCAAGTATTTTATTCAATAGATTATTTTTTTCAAATTTTTCGGCATATCACAGAGTAAATGTTTCCCAGCATACCAGTGGCGTACCCAGGGGGGGGGGGGTGGGTCGCGAAATTTTTGAAAGTTACTTAAATGTGTTATAAAAATGTGCAAAGGACTTGTCTTTACTTGTAAATAATTAAAATAATTTTTAAAAAATTTTAAAAATACAAATTAGCCTTGTAAAAAAATTTTTTTCCTTCTTTCAGATTTTAGGGGTTGGAGACCCGCAAAAATTTTGAGAAGCACCCCAAAAATTTATTCGGAATATGTGGCTAAGCCACGCACCTTCATTAGAAGAAAATTTTTGTCGCTCCCCCCCCCCCCCCCGAGCCGAAATCCTGGGTACGCCACTGCAGCATACCTATGGCGGTCAATACCACGGGGATCTGGGGTGTATGTCAAGAGGCGCGATTTCTATTGCCAGATCGAAACAAAATAGCACATAATAACTGTTTTATAACTTTCTAAATCTATTCAGATTTTACAAGGAGATATATTAGATACTTGCATGGATTGCTCAGTTATTGCTACGAGATGTTTAACAACGTTTCTTGTACTGTCAAGTTAATTAAACATCTGTTTTTTCCGCTTGAATAGCTACTTTCTGGTTTTTCAAGGCGTCTAAACAGGCTGTGAGACGCGAATAGCTTCTCTGCGTTGCTGTGGATGACTCACTTGTTTAACACGTAGTTCTTTGGTGATTCAGTGCATTTTCGAGACATTCAAAATCAAATCACGATTAATCAGATGAATATATGTTTTTTGCTTGTTTTTTAGATCTTTCGTCGCCTGTTGTGGGCAAAGCTACTGAATATAGATCTTCTCTTTGATGTGTTAGCGCACCAATCACCACACTGGAATAGAGACTGATTAGGGGTTATCGACATAGTGTTTGCTTTGCGACAACAGCTGCACATCAACTCAATTTTTAACCTCTAATGAAGTCAAGTCACATCTATTTGTTGACCTCTTGCTCATTATGCTTTGGAACTAACTTTTTTGTTTTCTTAGATTTTGTTTCGTTCCAGGTATGACCTTGCTGCAGCTGGCCATAGTGCTTACTGCTGTGGTAGGTGGCATCACCTCGATCGCCTTCCAGAATGAATGCAACAATCCTACTCCACCGCAGAAGAATGAGAGTCTGCCGGCATTCAAAGTTCCACAGCCTTACAAGGTTTCAGCTTTACTTCCGTTTCATTGCTTTGAGTGTTTTTCAACCCATTGAGGACGATGTAGACCACCGGTGGCGCACACACTTTTTTGCTGTTGGGGACGATGTGGACCACCGGTGGCCCACACCCTTTGGGAAAGTCATATCATTTGTACGCCTTTCCAATTTTCTGCACTTTTGGAACCTGTAGGCTCCGTCGTTCAAGAAGATGTTTACACGTGCTTGCAAAACAATCTTGCATTTTGTAAATACCCACAAAACCTATCCCACACCGCAAGTGTTGTGCAAAATTGCGTCGCCCGACGGCGCCGCACGCAAAATTAGGCGTCGTCGTCAATGAGTTAATATATGGAGGAATAGAACGAATTATATTATTTTTCCCAACGATGTATCGAGAATCCCGACATCATTTTTTATGAATATCGTCCCCTCCACATTTCTTACTACCCATGCTCTGCTTCTCAGGCCTGCGGCACGCATGGCTAACCTGTTGGCAGCATGCCACAACATGTCGGCCTTCAAGCTGACAGCCAGGACGTTTTGCCAGCAGGTTGTTGCATGTTGCCATTATATGTTGCATGTTGCCAACATGCTAGACATTGCCGCAGGCAAGAGACGTGGAGCCGGTAGCAGCATTTATGACTGGGACGATATGTGATTTGATGTCTTCCTAAAGAGTTTACACATCATCTCATAACTTAAAAATGAAAAAAGAATGTTACTGTGTTTTGAATCCTATGGCAGAATAGAGCAAATTGGATGCCTGAGTCAGAGTTTGCGTTCATATACTGTTTTCTTCTTTTCTCAGACCTTGCCATCTCAGCAAAGTTCATTATTTTAGATAACTGGCGTAATAACGAACTGGACTAACAAGACTGTTGCTGCCATAACAGAACTAGCAAAATCAGACCAAATAACAACATTAGTCTCGGACCGCGATTCAACTTTACACTATTTGTTCACAAATCCCGATAGTCGATTCCTTCATAATCAAACATGTGAGTACTTATTATTTTTGACCAAAGCGTCTGATTTGTAAAAACTGATTATTTTACAGCCGGGAAATGTGCTGCTTCATCTTCTTCTCCTTTATCAGCATATCCTCAGTTATCACTTGTTGCGAAAGACCTTTCATCCTTATCAACGATGATCTCCGGTTTGATGAATTTCTCCAAAAGCTCGCCGGGAGAGTTTGTAAGAAAAGAATGTGGTGGTTTAGAGAATCTGTCAAAATAAATAATGCATTGCAGCGTGATAACCGCGTTGTCGCGGGTGTTGAAGGTGTTCGTTGGGTAGCCTGCGTGAGTGGAACTAACGCAACATCTAGTCTTCAAGTGGAGGTGGGTGACGTCATTTTCATGGCAATTTTACGGTTTATTTTTTGCTTAATCTAGCCAGTTTTAGGTGATTTTTGCTGGCGATAGCGACCAGTCTTTGAAGCCGCCATCTCCAGCTTTTAATAACCCATTGTTGTTGTTCGTACGTGTTGCCGAATTCGGAAACTTTTCGGGTACGAGAGTTTTTTCACTTATGCTGTGTTTTATTATGACTCAGTGAAATTGTCTCTCCACACAATGTTTTAAATTACGAAAAGCCTTTCCTTTGTCTTTCTTTTTTCATGTTTTTTAAACCAAAATCATCTTATTTTCAGATAACTCTACGCTGAAATCTGTCCTATCCGTAGAGTTGGATAGCTATAATGTCATAGCACCTGAGGACGAGCGACTCTTTGAAGTAAGCGAAATCCTTGTCTTCTTTGAAATCATGGCACACCCCATACTTGATCCACTCGATCCGCTTCGCTATTTGATCAAATCAGTGATGTGACCGATAGCGAAGTGATGAAGTAAGTCAAGTGAACATATGCTTCGCTACTGGTCATCTCACTGATTTGAATAGCGAAGTGAATTAAGTCGATCAAGTAAGACGCGTGCCTATAGTGTCACTTCAGACTCCAGCTGGCACTGTCTGTGATGGATGGAAAGAAGCCAAAATTCCACTCAACGTTAGTGATAAATTCAGCGCTGTTGTTCAGAACGTGGACGATAAGAAAATGGAGTCTGAATCGATGGTACATTGTTTCACTTTTTTCTACTTAATTTACTTTTGCTTTTCTTCCGGAGCATTTTTCCTGCATATGATACAAAATAACCGTGTTGTTAATGAATATATTATTTGAGCTTTACTATTCACCTGCTGAAGAGATGGTTATCATTAGTGGAGCTCGTCAGAGCGATATGTTCCCATTTGTCAATGAAAAAGGAGTGCCTTCGGATGCCTCTTTGGTCATACACGACTTCAACAAAGGTAAGGTACCCGCTATGTTTTTTTTTCGTGAGCTTCCTGTTTTTTTATTGTCAATTTTCTTTGTCAGCTAAAGTAAAGGCTTAAGGTTATGAATACGCTTTGGACTCATCGCGTTGCGTACGTCTCTCTCCTTTGCCGAATAACACCGCAGATGTACTATCGACTGCACAAGGAGTTCTTAGCATAGCTCCAATTGCGAATATGCTCATCGCACCCGAACTGAAGTTTGGAAACTACGGCCGGGTTCGTTCTCACTATTGTGATGCTGATTCTCATAAGTTCCTTCATCTCTTGAATTCATTTGGCACTTCTTTAAAATTAACTACAAGATGACTTTAGTTACTTGCAAGCAATGGGCAGATGCTGGACATTTACCGGGCCGTGGACGGCAAGACCAACGACGTTGTAGAGGCTCACTTTGATGGCGTTCAGCTGGAAAGCTATGCTGTATACAAGGCAAGAGTTTTTTCCAAATGGTTTTCTCCATCGTTCACTAAATATTCATGATACAGCTTATGCTTAATTAGTTTGGTCGAAACTAAAAGGTTCTTTAGCTTGTTAACCAAGTCCCTGTGCTCTCGACATTCATGCGGTTCATTCATGGTCCAACTGACATCGTACCCACGTTCAGTGAACGAATTCGTAGCTGTTTCACTCAATCTGCTCCATCTTTTGATGAGAACAATACATTTATTTTTGATGTGAAATCAAGTGAGTTGCTTTCCGGTCAGTTTGGTTATTTTTGAATCTATGTGTTTTTGTTTAGAAACTGTGAAAGACGTGCACAGCGTAGGGGTAGAGACGGTTTCTCTTGCACTGGGGAACGCTCTAGCTCAAGTTGCACCCATCAATCCATACAGAATTCGCGTTTTCTATGTAAGTTCGAATTTTTATGTTAGTATAGCGAAGTGTAATGCTCTTTAGGACACAAACGCTGCGAAAACATTGAGGGTCTTCTTCTCCATTGATGAAAAAAGCAGCGTGGTTCCCAGTGCTGTGCAGAAATACAACTACACGGTAAGTCTGCGCTAGTTTATCTTGTCATTGTGTAGAGCGAATATCACTACGCAGTAGTGGCCAGGGTTTCGGGCGAGGAGGGGGCGACAAAAATTTTTTTCTAGTGACGTGGCGTCAGCCACGCACTCCGAAAATTTTTTTGGGATGCTTCCCAAAATTTTCTCGGGCTTCTGACCCCGAAATTTCAGAAAAAGGGCGTGGCGACAGCCACGACCCCGAAAAAAAATTTATTTTACGAGGCTAATTTGTTTTTTAAAAATTACTTTAACTATTTGCAAGTAAAAATAAGTCGCTTACACATTTTTATAAAACATCTAAGTAACTTTCAAAAATTTCGCCCATTCTCGGGGGGGGGGGGGCGCCCCTTCCCCCCCCCCGGCCCACTCGCCTCGGGACGCCACTGCTACGTAGGTAAACTGTGCCGAATATACATTTCATAAACATTTAGGCTGAGGTCCCATCTGCTGTTCTAATCGAAAAGTTGAACGCCACGATTGTACAGGGAGATTGGAAATTTTCGGTTCCTACTATCGATAAGAAGCAAGAGGTGAGACGAAAGTTTTCATGAGTTTAGTTATACTACTACTTTCTGCTCAGGACTGGGTTGTGGCGGCGAAATCGCTTAGTCGTTACGCCCCACCAACTCACGTTGTGCCAACATACATGGGCTATACGGGTGGTGCTATGTTCGTTTTGGGCATTTTCTCGATGATACTTGGTGTTGCCATAGGTCAGTCAATATTTTCATTCCCATAATTAGACTCGTTTGATTTGCTGATTTGGCCTTTTCTATCCGTTTTTATTTAGGAGCTGGAGGTGTCTTCTTTATCACTAAGCGACAACGCATCTCCACTCTAGCATACCAAGTTTTCGAGTGATGAACGTTATGTCATAATATGGGAATTCGTGAATTTCGCTGGTTTTTGATTGTGAAACATGTATTCGTGTGCACGACAATGCGAATTCTCCCATTGTCAGTACCGACTTGATCTGTCCGCGCTAGATTCACTTTTGCGTGTAATACATCGTACTCTTGTGGAATATCTTATCTAGAATTCTGAATGCTTTTTATTACCTTCATGTTTGCATAATCATCATCATTTGTGTTGTCAGTGTCCTCTACATTGCGATAATTTGTCCATTCATCTACGAGTCGATTTTGTGAGTTTTTGAGACGGTGTATGTGGGAAGATCTATTTTCCGAATAAATTTTGTACAGTCCTTTTTTCTTTTATCATGATGAAGTTGATCAAACGATTAGATATCGTTCTTCATAACTCAGGTTGATGTAACGAAAGGCAGCAACATTGGTACTTCTAGAGTTTGCTAATCAAATGACGCAAGCAGCCAAATCAGCTGCTGAGCGCGCTCTTTGTATCGTAGAGAAGTCATCTAGAGTACGGATTCAGGATCTGCGAGATAATGTAGGAGCCAGAACCTTAGGTCGACAAGTCCATAAAAAGCACAATCAGGTGATAGCAAATTTTCTCTACAGTCTTCCAATTACTGAAAACGTTCCCGAACCAAGGCAGGGCATACTAGAGGGGCTTTGCAACATGCTGCGAAGCCGCCACTTGGATGGATATGGGGAGATTTCTACAAGCCGTGGCATAGAATTTTCCCTGGTGACAAGAATTTCAATGCAGATATCAAGTAAGATTCCCCACTCGTTTTTTTCGCTTTCATTCTCAACTTTCCAGCATCCGCCGTGAATATGTCCCATTATCGCTGATTGAACTGTGCCGCTTGATTGATCTGGGATGGGTGGATCCTTCACGCCCTATAGATGTAGCGGCATTATGCGCGACCCAAAAGTTTGTTATAAAACCAAACCTGCGCCAATGCGGTTTTGATCTCACATCTGAGGTGAGTTGTATAAGTATTTGCGTATTTTTCCCATGATGAGGATTTCTAGGGTGCTGACATTTTCACTTATAAAATTGATATTGAAGTACAATATGCGTCGCAGTCTGCGATTTCCGCAATAGAAAGAGCTGGAGGTCGGATACGTGTTGCTTACTACGATCCTGAGTCATTGCAGGTGAGTATTTCCAGTGACTTTCTCCGTTTCTTTCTTCATTTTCTTATCGCACTCAATTCCAAATTTCCTTTTTAAAAATGTTCACAAAGGTTTTTAAATATCAAATCATCCCCTATTTTTCAGGCGGCTGTTGATCCCAGAACTTGGTTTAGATTAGGAAAGCCTGTGCCTGCTCGAAAAGCTCCCCCTCCGTCGTTGTTAGAGTACGTTGCGCAGTTCTTTCACCTACAATTTGTCTTTTACTTGGCACCAACATGCAGTGTTTACCATCGCTGAGTCATCCAACTCAATATTCCATCAGTACTATGTCCAAAGTCTGTTGGGAACTATCATGACGTTAGAATTTGCGAAAACCCCGTTCACGACAAAATTTTGAGCACGGTTTTCATAGAAAAACACGTTAGAAAGTTCATGTTTTTGCTATCGACCTCCATATGGTATGTTCATAGTTGCCCTATAGGGATCAGTGGTGGTATTGGGTCCAATCACGATGAACTATGATCGCTTAAAAAAATCCTCGCTTGATGATTACTGAGCACTTTTGAATTTTACAGATATTACACCGATCCTCTCAACCGCGGTTATCTGGCAGACTTTCACGAATTAGGCAAAGCTCGGCAACGACTAGGACTTGTGAGGGGATATAAAGTGCCCGACGAGGAAACAAGGCTTGGAGATAAAGGGCCCACTCAAGTATGTTTAATTGAAGTTAAAGGCGGCAGAATGACAACTTTGGGATAGCGGCTCGGCAGAATGACAACTTTGGGATATTCATCATTCCCGGTTCCCCTGGATGAGCTAAGTCCAAGACTGTGCTTTGCAGCTTCAAAAAATATCAATAACCCGCTTTTCCAGACGTGAAAAGCGCTATTTGTGGGCGGACCGCGTAAACGCCCTCTAGAGCGCGATTGGCTCATGAGTACGATGGGTACAGTATCTCCACTCACGAGCCAATCGCGCTCTAGAGGGCGCTTACGCGGTCCGCTCTCAAATAACGCTTTTCACGTTTGGAAAAGCGGGTTGTTGATATCTATTGAAGCTGCAAAGCACAGTCTTGGACTTAGGTCATCCAGGAGAGCCGAGAACGATGAATATCCCAAAGTTGTCATTCTGCCGAGCCGCTGCCTTTAAGACTACCTGACGTAGCTGCATTTATCCCATTTTAGGTGTTTTATGGAATCCCTCCTGGAGCTTTGGTCTCTCTTGCAGATAAAAAAGTGTTTTTACCTACGAATCCAATAGTCAGAGATTATTACCATAAAGATTTCGTTGCTGATAAACAGTTTCCATAATTTAATCTGATAATTAATATGGTTTATAGATTAGGTTAGATAGCAATAGTTCTTTTTTGCTTTTCCGTTGTACTTAATTGTTACACTCTGTTACAAACATGTTTTCCGTTTGATCGATTTGATTGGCATAAAAATATATATCAAGTCAGACCGTCGTACGTGGAAGAGAAATGAGGAGAATGATTGCGAACAGTTTTTCCAACGATATCCTGAGTCAGGTGAGACCGCACAAGGCTCGGTTAGTGGCTACTTGCCTTCCTTGAGGACTTTCCCGTCCAAGAATGGTCCCGTGACCAGGAGAAGGAGATGAAAGTCTTTTGGACTGCGCATGAACAAAAGCCGCAAACCCACAGATCTCGAGCACAGCTTTATACGAGCACGCCGCTTAGCTGTAACAGTTTTTGCATCTTCATCCGACAACTAGGTCTCAGGTTGATATCTGTACTGAAAAATATCCTTCTTGGTACAATACTTGAACAATAACTGTGTCGCATTTTAAATACGCGGTATCTCAAAAAGCAAGTACGGTCTGTGTCAACCACGTGCCCCCTTTTCCATGAGAGTAATCGCCACGCTAGAGCTTTGCATTACGTTAGAGCGCTTACAACTTGTGCATTTAAATTACCTCATCGACTGAAGCTCCGCACATAGTCCTCGCTTTGCGCATGCGTACTTCTCACGCGAAAGTGAATACGTAAGTGACACAAACTGTATGTGTGAACGTCGGACTGGAAACGACAGAATTTGGGGGCCTTATGCTTGTACAATGCCTGCCTCTTGTGAGATGTATTCTAGTACCTTGAAGAGACCAGTCCCGGACCGTTGCGAGAGCGCGCTCTCTTTCCCCAACCGAGTATGGGTAACAAATTCTTAGTTATGGGAGTTATAAAATGGTGCAACTGTTCGGAATGGGCGCGGAAAAATTGGAAAATATTTCAAAAAAACTATCGGGATACGTGGTAACCATAAAAAAATTTTTGTCACCATTTCCCTGTAAAATTTTTTTCGGACCGTCCCTGGCAAGGTCATGCGAAGGTGGTCCGCTTGGGCCATCGCGCAAGGCTGTCGCGTTGCATTTGCATAGTTCCAGAGAGCATGTAACTGACGCAGACTGTATGCAGTGTCAGCATATCCATCGAAATAGACCTAGCTTGGGATCCGAAAGCTCTTCATAGGAAAACTGTGGTTCTACACTCAGGATAGTGAAGTGAATCTTCAAAACGCTGCTAATTTTGTTGGCTAGTTCGTGTGATAATGATGCTGATAATTTTGATTTTTTTCTGATGCCATGTTTTGACACGGCAATAGCACAGATGGCAATTAAGAACTTCCCATTTTGCATTCATCTACGAAATGAGCTGGCTGCAAGTTGGTCAGAGGGTTTACGTAATAGAGAGGGAGGCCAGACATGCTGAGAAACTTCATGAGTACTCGCACCTGTCGTGGGACTCAATTTATAACGTCATGGTAGGTGCTAATCCTGCAAAATTCGCGGAAAATCTACGTTTTCAGACCTTAGGCAGAATCGGAAGCATAACAGATATATCGGACGATTGGCAGACCGTCGTTGTTCGCTTTTATCTCTGGTCTAGAAGTGACGAGTATGGGATTTACAGCGAGAGTCAGCTGGTAGGTGATTTCTAGATGATTGAAAATGACAGGAAAGAAGAAAGTAAGAAGAGATGACTTGAACTAGGAACTAGGTGTTTAGATGGCTGTCGATGTTGCTTGGCATGCTCAAGCACTTCGACCTTTGTATAAAATTCATTTTGAAGTGGGGGACCATGCCGTGCTTGAACAGGAGGACGACGGACAACTAGTGGGTTCCAACCCCAAATCATCCTCTTTGGAAGTTCAGAGGCTTTTCTATCAGGAGGTGCATTTTGTAACAATTCGATCAGTGATCAGCTCAAATGGCGATGATCAGTTGTTCTGTTTGGAAGCGCCAGGGAAACAGACGCTTTTCTGGAGTCAAGAAGATAGGGCGTCGGACGCTCTCCTGCCTATTTATACAGGTAGACACTGTAATGAAGATCTATAGTCCCAACCCGGATTAGACCGAAGCATTCGATGCTGAACGCTACACCCACTTTGCTGTAGCATTTCGCAGACCAGTGTTCGGAAAAAGCGAAGACATGCAGACATGGTCCCAGGGCTCAGCACAGCTGGCACCGGGTCAAGCTATTTAGATATCGTTTTTAGGGCGGAAAGCAAAAGGGATATCTCTACAGGGGCCGAAGCGGAGAACTGCCGCAAAAATGCCGCCGGCATGCCACCGGCATGCCACTGTCAAGCTGTCCATCAACAAACAAAGGCGTTGTTTTCAGCCAAAACGCAATAGTATGACACCAAATTTGGTGTGTGCATGCGCGTTGGTGTACCGGAACCACGGGCCAAAAATTTATGAAAACTTATGTGAATGAAAGCCGTGCCCAACTTTATTCTGAATTAGCTGGCACCGACACTTTGCTCACATAAGTTTTCATACTTTTTTACATAAAATGTATCTACATTGTAGAAGATTACATACGGAGAAGAAACAGTTTCATAATGTTCTCTTTTCAGCGTTTCGTAACGATTTGAAAACCACTTGGGCCGCTCCGTAGTCGAAAAATCGGCTTTTTCTGCTTCTCAAGATGTGATTCGACCACCTAAAACGCTCAGAAAGCTGTGAAAAGTTCTTTCATGAAATCAGAAATGCATGGAAACACTACTACATTTTTTTTACAATAATGTAAAAATGATGCGGGTTTTCAAAACAGGTCAAAAGGGACTTCGTACAAAATTTTCAATATAAAACGGGACTTCGTTTTGAAATTTCCCTGGTGCCAGCTCGTGCCGAGCCCTGCATGGTCCTGACAAGATGTACTGTTGCCGTTGCGTCATGGCGCGATCTTTGCAATTTTGGCCTAGTCCGGGTTGGACTGTGAAAATCTGTCGAGACGCAGACTAATTAGATGGTCCGACAGTCCCCACGCCAACTGGGCGGTGTCCAGCAACTCCAGATGAGCTGTGCCTAACCGGGTGACCGGCGGCTTCCCTTCCCCTCTCATTCTATTTATAAATATATAATAAAGATTCTAGTTATAATGTTATGTTCATATAAAGTAAGACAATCAGGGTGAAGGATTCAAGTCAGGAGAGTGCACCTCCTGAACTTGACATGGAGGTCCCGAGTTGTTTTCTTTTTATGACTCACATTTTTCTGAATCAGTCACTTTTCGAGAATTTTTTTTCCTGAATCAACAATTTTTGGATTTAATCAGCATAGATTCTGGCCAAATCTTTTGCAAACTCCCACCGCCGGCACCAGCCCTCATCTCCTACGTTTCTCCGTAGTTTTTTTTTGGAAAATCATCCTTTTTTTAAAATCATTTTTTTGAGTCAGGCGATGAGTCTGAGTTTTGTATTACTTGCTATTCTTAGCATAAAATAATATTTTCTACTTCATTTTCTACCTAATGATATTTTATTTTTTTTCTCTTCCTTAATTCCGCGAGCCGTGATCCCCCGAGCCGTGAATAGCGAACCGTGAATTTTCGACGCTCTCTCTCTAGATCGATTTAACTCTCTGGATTGAGATTCCGCGAGCCGTGAATTCCGCGAACCGTGATTTCCTAGAGCCGCGATATCCCGGAGACGTGATTCCGCGAGCTGTGAACAATTGTTTTTTTTCATTCAATCGATGTTATTTCTTCCATTAGGAACCCCCATATTTTCCTTAATAAAGCGCAACAATCTCAGTGACTCTATCGCCACCGCCGGCATTGTATATATGTACATATAAGGTTGTGCAAGTGGAGAACGCACTGTGAGCCTAATTTTTTTCATAACTCTCACTAGTGGAAAGACCACTGTGAGACCACTTTTAATTTTAATTCTCACTAGTGGAAAGACCACTGTGAGAATACTTTTCATTTTTCATGACTTCACTAGTGGAAAGACCACTGTGAGACCACTTTTAATTTTAATTCTCACTAGTGGAAAGACCACTGTGAGAATACTTTTCATTTTTTTTATGACTTCACTAGTGGAAAGACCACTGTGAATGTACTTTTTTCCCGCTCTCTAGTGGAAAGACTACTGTGAGCCCATTTTTTTTTAATTTCTCACTAGTGGAAAGACCACTGTGTGCCTTATCAAGTTCAAAATTAAGTTCTCACTAGTAGAAAAACTACTGTGAGTCCAATTTTGCTCAGGGAGAGTTTCATAATTATTTATTATGATTGCCCGAGGAAAATCGACGGGCTATCTGATAGCTCACGGTTACTTCCAGAGGCTACACTCCCAGTCCCTTGATTTTATTGGCTTATCACTCAACAACGAGTGACATTTAGCCACCAGAAGTAGGCACATGCAGCGGCAGTGCCCTTTGAACCTCGTATCCCATCAACGAATGTCTGGGCCAGAGGTATGCGGTAATTGTTTGTTGCTGATTAGCCACTTATGGACTTCTGGGCTGGATGGCACCTCAGAATCGAGTACGGTGGAAAGCAGGTATTCGTCCCAAGGACTCCTCGAATGATATTCTCTACGGAAGACCGAGAAAAATCAGGAACAACTTTCCAACAGCCCTACTCAAGTAATTGTCCAAGAGAGGTACGCTTTATCTAGCCCTTACCTATGATTTTTTTTCTCTTTTCCACATACCTGTTACAAAAAAAAGATGGATCAAAAAGCCAAGATACGTCACCAATGCCTGAGTCTTTAAGAAATTGTGGAAGCCAGCCACTACCTCAAATTGACATATCAGCATGACATAAGATTGGTTTTAAAAAGAATACTTACTTAGATACTTAGATGGCCCGGCTTCACGTGACGTGCGGGCCCCAGCTCAGAAGTTTCCATTTTTCCCTGTCCCTCGCTTCTGACATCCACGATCTTCTTGGCTGACGTCGGTGGCTGCGTCCACGAGTTCCAGGTGCAAAAATCGTATCCAGCTGATTTCTCAGCTGGTCCATCCGTTCCACGAACACGTCTGCCCATCTCGTTGGAGGTCTTCCTCGGGGACGTTTGGCTTCGCGAGGAATCCACTCCGATGTTCTTAGTGTCCATCTGTCGTCTGTTCTTCTCATTATGTGACCGGCCCATCGGTGTTTGGCTTTCGCGACGTATTCCGCTGGGTCACGAAGACGGGACATTCTTCTCATATCCGTGCTGCGAAGTCCGACTAGATGTTGCTTGCGTCGGGTCATCTTCAGAAGACTGCGCTCGAGCGCTCTGTGGGTGGTCCGTAGAGCTTTCGACGTGGCTACAGTGTCGGCCCAAGTCTCAGCTGCGTAACAGAGCGCCGGGAGAACGGTTGAGTCGAACAGGTGGGCACGAAGCTCCGGGTCCGTCAGTTGGTCGGTAGCTTCCTTCAGGGGCCCGAAGGCGGCCCAGGCTGCTCTTCTTCTCCTGTTGAGTTCTTCCCTCAAGTCGTTCTCCATGTTCATCGAACGTCCGAGATACACGTAGGAAGACGTCTCCATAATCGGGTTGCCTTCCAATTCCATTTCTGCGTCTTCGCAAAGGGCGTTCTTCATGAACTGAGTTTTCTTCCGATTTATTCGCAGTCCGATCTTCTTCCCTACTTCGTTTAGTTCCTTCAGCATCGTCTCTGCTTCGGGAAGAGAACGATGTCGTCCGCAAAACGAAGGTTGGACAGGAATCTCCCATCAACTCGTATGCCTCTCTCGTCCCAGTCCAGTGACTTCATCACCCACTGCAAGGCCGCGGTGAACAGCTTCGGCGAGATTGTGTCGCCTTGTCGGACCCCCTTCCCGATTGGTATGGTCAGGGGGCGATGGAATAGCTGCATCGTCGTTGTACAGTCCTTGTAGCAGTCGGCTAGTGTCCTCACGTAAGCTGGGTCCACTCCTTGATCGACTAGCGCAGACAGGATGGCGTTGGTTTCGACGCTGTCAAAGGCTTTCTCGTAGTCGACAAAGGTTAGGACGAGAGGCAGTCGGTACTCCCGGCAGACTTCTATGACCCTCGAAACGGTCTGGATGTGGTCCATGCAGCTGAATCCTTTGCGAAATCCAGCTTGTTCTTGGGGTTGGGCTTCATCCAGTGTCCTTGATATGCGAGCGAGGATAATCTTCGTGAAAAGCTTGTACAGCACACTCAGCAAGCATATTGGACGATAGTTCCGAAGATCTTCCCGTTCACCCTTCTTGAAGAGAAGGACGGTTCTTGACGTTCTCCACTGGTCGGGAATCTTCTCCTTCTGAAGGTAAGATGTCAAATGCGACGCTAGAATCTCGTGTAGACGGTGTCCTCCGGCTCGCAGAAGTTCGACGGAAAGATGATCTGGTCCTGGAGCCGTGGACGTCTTCATGGTCTGTATCGCGATACGCACTTCAGCAGGTAGAATTCGTGGTGGTACTTCTCCAGTGGGAACAACGGGCATCTGCACGGGTGTTGATGAGCGGCAGAGGTTGGTGTAGAAATTCTTCGCGATAGATTCCATCTTGTATCGGGAAGAAGTCGGAGTCCCGTCTTCGTTCAGTAGTGCAGCCAGCGGTACGTGATATTCGCAGAGGTCCCTTCGGCACTTCTTGAGACTTCGTCTTCTTTCTGCTGCTTCCAGTATCTTGGCTTGCCTGTATTTCCTGAGATCCTCTTGCAAAGCTGTTCTGCAACTGGTGTTGGCAATCAGTCGCTCGAGATGAGTTGCATTCGGATCCTGCCTCAATGATCTTCTTCTTTCGAGCAATTCCTTGGTGGTCTTCGAGATGCGGTCCAAGTTCTTCTCAGAAGTCACTGAGGCGCATTCTCCGCAGGCTCGCAATCCTTTCAGAAGCCGGTCGTAGTCGTACGTTGGGTCCTCCTCGATGGGCCAGTCACAACTTGATATGAGCTCTTCCAGCCTGTTACCGTCATAAACGACTTCCTTCCTTCTCGCGGCACTATGACAGACTTTCTTTTCCAGCCTTCGGCTGAGTCGTATCTTCGCTCGAAGGAGGCGGTGATCGGAGCCACTACAGAAGGATGGAACTACAGAGACATCGAGTAAGCTCCACCTTCGGTT